CCCAGTTTCTATACTGCCCATGACGCCGGATGGTATGGAATGGCCCTTGGGGCAGTTGGGATCAACTCTCCTGGCTGTGCCCCCTCCCAGCTCCTTGTGCCCCTGGCAGAGCATGGGAAGCTGAAAAGTCCTTGCCTGGCATGAGCAGTGCTGAGCAACAACTAAACCATCAGCGTGTTATCAACATTCTTCTCCTACTAAATCCAAACCACAGCACTGTGCCTGCTGCTAGGAAGAAAATTAACTCTATCCCAGCCGAAACCAGGACAATACCTTTTGGCAACTGCAAAGCAGTGTTGTATAAACCATCCCAGGACCCCGATTTCTCCTTGCCTGAACTGATCAGTAAATTCGGTGACTTGCGGTAGTTCTCCCGGTTACTCGTTAGGACAGTTCTACTGTTACAGTAAATACCAGACCTTGTAAAGACTGACAGCAGGAGGAGCTGGTGTGTTTAACTGCTAAGAAACAGGTCCAGGGATCCCTGCAGTATTTTCAGCTACTTGAAGAGGATGTAGGTGTATGTTTTTCTATAAGCTGTCTGGCAAGTTCATGTTGAATTTTCATAAAACACCAGGATGAGCCTCTGAAGCAACTGGAAAGACTTTCCTTTTGCTTTATTGAGGGTTGGATTAAGCCCTAAAGTGCTGTGTCTAAAGCACACTGGTAATGTAGCTTTCTTTTAAAACTGCTTGAGCTCAGGGAAGGGACAGCAGCCACTCCAGGTAGCTGAATGTGTGTCTTTTTGGGAGTGATTTTATTTTATTTACTTGCAGGATATATATTTTTTTAAGCCATTGCCCTGTGTGTTTCTTCACAATAAGCGGAACTGCTGGCCTGAGGAGCTGAACTGTTGTTAGAGCCTGTGCTGCTTGTTATGCTTGACTGATACTACTCAGTATCGTTCTTGCCTTGACTTGTCTTCGCTATTTCACAACTGGAAAATAGGATAAATTCTTAGAAATTAAGCAGAGTTTATTTAAGAAGATATTTAAGACTTGGTGCAAGGATGATATCTTCAGTTTAGGTAAATGGCCTTGTAATATTCACCCGTCACGGTGGTGGTCGCCTACAGAAACACTGTGCTGCTGGCAGCCTGCGCCAGTATTAATGCCAGCACAATCCAGGTACTTCTGGAAGGACCATAGTCTGATCTCAAAGGCAGTAATTTAAAATAAATAAAATTCCTCTAGCAGTTTGCCTAAGCAATTACAGTAATTGACCTTCAGCGGCCCAGTGTAGAGATTATGGGGTGAATATAGAATTTCACTAGCATATTTTGATGATTAGGAAGAACTGTTTGAGTACTAGAACAAGAAGTGTGCTTTTAAAAAAAATTATATTATGTTAATTAAATTCCTTAATTATTCCCAAAGATGGGTTCCAAGCAGCATTTTCAAAACCATTACACAGCTGGAGATAGCTGCCTGTTAGCAGAGTGGCTTTCCTAAGGCGGCCCACTGCGCAGACGGCAAAGCCAAGTTTAGAGCTCAGCTCTTCGATTCCAAATGGCCTCAGGTATGACTAGGTCTTGTATTGCTGCCATGTTTTTCAAGTTCAATGTGTAAATCCTGGTGCCTGTTAAAATTTTATCTGACAATGTCAGAACAAGATAGACTAAATCTCTTGATGGCAACTAACTTGCGCTGTTTTCTGGAATCGCGGTCTTCCACCCTGAACTACCCTTCCCTAAACCTCTCCCTGATACCTGCTTTAGCAGTGTGCTGTCAAAGCTGAGATTGAGGTCTTCTGGTCCTTTTTCCTAACAGTATTAGGATAGCTTTGTCTGCAAGAAACTCGTCACGACTGAAGTGGACCAGTATTTAAGAATTCTGGAAAATTAGTTTGTGCCTGTTGGCTCTTGCTCTGTCACTGGCCTCCCCTGAAAAGAGTGTGCCCAGGCTTCTTTACAGCCTCCCTTTGGGTGCTTGTACACATCCCCCCAAGACTTCTCTTCTCCAGGGTGAACAGTCCCGGCTCTCTCAGCCTTTACGCATACAAGAGATGCTCCAGTCCCTTAATCATCGTAGTGGCCCTTCACTGACGTCTCTCCAGCAGCTCCACCTCTCTTGTGCTGGGGAGCCCAGCACTGGACCCCGCACTCCAGATGTGTCTCAGCAGTGCTGAAGAGAGGGAAAGGATCCCCCCCTTCAGCCTGCTGACAGTGCTCTGCCTAATGCAGCCCAGGATGCTGGTGACCTTCTTTGCTGCAAGGGCACATTGCTGGTTCGTGTTCAACTTGGCCACCAGGACCCCACGGGCTTTTCCTGCAGGATCCCGAGGGCTTTTCCTGCAGAACTGCCTTCCAGCAAGTTGATCCCCAGTGTATACTGGTGCCTGGGCTTATTCCTCCATTGGTGCAGGACTTTGCATTTCTCCTTGTTGAACTTCATGAGATTCTTCTCTGCTCATCTCTTCAGCCTGTCCAGATCCTTCTGGATGGCATCACAAGCCTCTGCTGTATCAGCCACTCCTCCCACTTTTGTCTCATCCTCAAACTTGCTGAGGGTGTGCTCTTCTCCATCATTCAGGTCATTAATGAAGATGTTAAACAGTATTGGCCCCAGCATCAACTGCTGGGGGACACCAGTAGTGACTGGCCTCCAGTTGACTTTCATAGAATCATCGAATCGTTTAGGTTGGAAAAGACCTTTAAGATCATCCAGTCCAACCATTAACCCACACTACCAAGTCTACTCTAAGCCAATCAAGGGTAGACTAGACTAGACTAAGGGTAGACTTTGTGCTACCCTTGGAGCCTGGCTCTTCAGCCACTTTTCCATCCGCCTCGCTCTGCAGTTATCTGACCCATGCTTTGTCAGTTTGTCTATGAGGATGTTATGGGAGACGGTGTTAAGGTCAACAGCATCAACTGCTCTTTGCCTCACATCTGCTAAGCCCATCGGAGTTTATCAGCTTGGCTAAGCGTTATTTGCTTGAAGGAAATCCGGAGTCACAGTAGTCTAGCGCTGGCCCTTAGGAAAGCTTAGTTTGCAGTGATGGTATGAACAGATAAAGCAGCTTCTAGTTGTTATGCCTTGAGTCTCCTTCATGGGAATAGATTTTCTGTGATTGAAAAGCTCTTCCTTTTGGGTTTTAAGTTGCACTGACTTGGTGCCATGTGGGTACCTTAACTTTTTTCAAAAACAATTCTGGGGAAAAAAAAAAACCCCTATCTGTGTTTGATAACGTTACAGTGTTGTCCTTACAATGTTGGTTTTAAGTTTTAAGATTAACTTCATCCAGTGCTAACATTTCCTTTGATTTCTTGCAGATACTTCAGCTTCTGGGCCAACAGTTGTCGAAAATGGTGACCATGGAATAGAAGATCACCGCACAGGTACGTGCTTAATGTCTGAAGCGAACACGTTGACTTCTTTATTTGTTATCGGACCAGTAAAACCTCACTGTGACAAAACGCATCTTCTTTTTGGGTCGTATTTCTCTATGGAGGGTTGTTTCTGGTTTTGTAATGATCTTTTTCAAAGAATTTGAAACAAAATAGAACTTTATTCTCTTTTGGGTTTGAAATTGCTTATTTGCATAAAGCCTCGATCTGAAGACATTGTATACTTCATCTGTGGTCAGCGTTGGGAAGGCAACATTGAGGGCACTGATACCTAAATGGCTTTCCAGTGACTCTGTAATATTCATAGCTGAACTATACCTTAACCTGTGAGAATGACTCCTCCTGTTCCCCGTGAGACTGATGGTGATGTTTCTTCTCCAAGTACACCATCCTTTGATGCAGTTTTTTCATTCACTAACTCTTAATGGAAAGCTACTGAAATTACACTGCTTTGTTTATCCGGCAGTTTCTCCTTCCACCCCAAACTACTCTTCTATAAATATCTCCTAATGCTTGCTTTAGCAATGTCAAAGATGAAATTGAGGTCTTCTGAACCTCTTTTCATACAGCGTTAGGATAGCTTTGTCTGCAAGACACTTCTCGTTACTTAAGTGGACCAATATTTCAGACTTGAGAGGAATCTGGAAAAGAATTATCTTTCCAAGCAGCCTAACACATGCTGAAGTTGGTCTTCTTTTAGCAGTTACATTTAATGATAAACACCAGTTCTCTTTTATGAGACTTTCTTACTGTGAATTGGGTTTCCCACCAAATTCCAACTGAAGTGTTTGGGATGAGCAGTACCAAACTCTGCAGCTGTGTGCAGGAGCCAGTGGATTGTTTCTGTTTGTGGTGAGGAGGGTGCAGACTTTGACAGGCCACACTGTAGCACCTCTGTTTTCTTGAGGATGAAATACTAAAAAGTCGATTGTCATCCTGGCCTTGGCAAGAGCTATTTATTTGGTCTCCCTTTTCATGATCTCCAGCTCAGCTTTAGTGGTACAGATCATTGCTAAGATTGTTCGGATGTTCCCAGCGCTAGCATCCCTGCTAGTCTATAGGTGTGTCCCCAAGGAAAAAAAAAAAAAAAATCCAGGAGATAATGATGAATTTGTGGGAGTGGGAGACAGGGATGAATTAAAACACTTTTCTGCTATAACTCTATTTAGTGTGAGCAAGTGTTCATGTTCTTATTGAGGATACGAATATAAAAATTGATCTTTGTACTTAATTTGCCATTGTAAATCCAGTCAAAAGGAAGCTGTGCATCTTTCATAATTTAGTATAAAACTGAAATTAAGAACGCTTCTGAACCTTCCTAAGGATACTTCCTTTCTTTTTTTAATACCTATGACTAAAAGGAGATAGAAACAAAATCAGATTTATGATACTCCAGGTATGACTAATTAAATGCATTAGGACTTCTTAAATTGAACTTCTGAATTGTGTTTAGGAAAAATCTTGTCATTTACTTAATACTAGGTTTCTGGAGGTTTAACTCTTCACCCACTAAATGGTAATAACTTTGATCAAAGATACTTTTATGTGTCTGAAGCTTTTTAATTTATTAATATGTTCTGTCTTTGTGGGGTAGAGTTGGATTTTTTTTTTTCCCTTGTTAAAGGCTGTCTAAAAGTGACATCAAAGTGGTAGAAACAGCATGTTGAAGGATGAAGAGTCATAGGCATCAAGTTAATTAGGCTTTTCAGAATAACAGAAGATTTATACAACACAACCATTTCATGGACTCTTTCCCCCTACCCCCTTCTCTAGGGAATACTTAAAATATCCAGACTTATACATTTGCGAGTAAGGGAGAAATGCTATTTTTCGATCAGATAATGGAGGGGTTTTTGAGGTGAAGCGCAGTTGATGCTCTGCAGAAATACAGGCAAGTTGTTCCAGACCAGGTGATGGGCTTCAGTAGTGCCTGGTTCTACATTTAATAGGTGGTGCTGCCCGGAGCCTTTTGTCCCTGGCCCTGAGCCACCTTCCTTCAGTTTTTGGCTGGCTTATTTGTTGTTTTCAGCTGGATCTATTCCCTAGTCTGTCTCTTTTTAGAGCTGAAATAATTCTTCTGGATGTGCAGTGTGGGCCCAGTGCAGAGGTGGGAAACAGAGTAACTGAGAAAGGACTAAGGAAAGTGATGCTCAAGGAAAACCAGCTTTTTGCTACAAAAAGCAGTGTTCAGCGCTACAGAGAGAGCTTTTAAAAGCAGAGCTGTGTTTGAGTTGGATTCTGAAACAGACTTCAGAGCAAGTATTGGGGAAAGATGTAGTTAAGCTATTTGAAAAGACAAATGTCTGCTTATCTCTCCGGTCTAGATTGCAGGAAGCATTGCTACATGGGTTTGGTTGGGTTGTTTTTTTTTTTCACCTATCAAATAAAACAGGGTGATGACTTGCTAATGTTTTATCGCATGTGACATTATCTACAGACATCTGGTGTGTGTGTGTATGCGGAGGTTAGAATTAGTCAGGACTGAAATCTTAGTGCTGGTTTGGCAGCCTGTGCTGCCTCCTGACCGGCTGCCCCGCTCCGAAGTACCGTTAATGCGGTAGATGGCATAAATCCCAAACTAATGTAACGCGGGGGCAAAACCCTCTATTAACTGTTGAGTTATTTTTGTTGCAACAGCAATGCATTTAAACCATTGATGCGAGGATGTGTATAGTTCAGTATTTCAGAATGCAAAGGAAAAATGTGAATGGTTGACTTCACGTTGGCTGTTTACTTGAGGGTCCAAAACTGTGGCCGTGAGGCTGAGAACCCTCTGCACCCGTTTGCTCTCCCTGCAAGGGAGAGACTGGCACTTCCGAAGGGTTCAGTTCTTGGCAGGGCTGAGCCTTATGTGGCAATTGCTTATTTGGTTTGTGGGTTTTTGTTTTTTGAGGATGAGAGCTACAGACTGGGAGCTCTGGCTTGGGTACTCAGCACAAAGACTGAAACTCTCTCTATTAATTCTGTTCTTCC